TATTTATAGCTAAATGGATGCATATAGAGACCACACTCTTAAGTGAAATAAATAGAACACACATGTGTAAATACCAAATAGTTTCCTTAGTGTGAGAAACTGAAAGTGTAAATAAGGATTAAAATGATTAAAATGAATAATTGATAATTTGAAATAGGAAGAAAACATGCAAAGGGGTAGGGGAAATGGGAGGGGAAGGGGAAAGGAAAGAAGGGAATGGAATTAATATCAGAAAAGGAAAAAATGGAAACAAAGTCTTTGTAAATAGGGAAGGGAGCACAGGAAATGGGGAAAAAATAAGAACCAACATGCAGCACGTACAGGTACAAGCATCCAATGATAAATGTAAGCGAACTCTATACCTAAAAGGTACTAATAAAAGAATTTAAGCAAAAAATTAATTAATAAATTAACCAGCCTTTATGCCACAGCATTACCTTCCTTCATATTGAGTGGAACCTTACCAGAGAAGGGCAGACATGGACTGATGTTCCGCTCACGCATACAAATCAATCACTTGGTACAAATTTTGAGTGACTGAAGTTCATTAGTTAATAAATGAGAGGAATGCAAGCCTGACCCCCTTAGAACTTTGTAGTCAGGCTGATTAAACAAGTGCTCCTAGACAGAACTGAAATCAGCCCAAGGAAAGCAAAGAAATCTGACTGCCTAATTAATCTATGTCACATTACCATGATTACATGTTACAACTTTCAGGGTCAAAAGAACTAGAAAAATGCCAATTGGTATCTAGATAGGCCTGTTGGGGTCTGAGGAACCCAATTATGGGAATCGGATGTGATATTTTAGAATCTGCAATACTTGAAAAATGATGAAAGAATACATAAAAGTAGATATTGTATTTATTAATATGCAAACATCAGACAGGATTCTACTTTCCTAATCAAATACCTAGGACCAAAACAAAAAAAAAATGGAATGAATAAATGAAAACCCAACAGAAGGGAAAAGGAAATAACCGCAGAGCACTTACCAGACACATCCCCATTGTGATCATGGAATGGAGGAGACAGACCAGTCATCCCGTTTCTTTTCATCCAGCCCAGTTGCAGGCTTTGATCTTGTTCCATTCCACAGAGCCCATCCTCAAAATCACACCTTTCATAGCCAGAGCCTAACGAGAAAACAAAAACAGGATTAGTTTTCAGCATCTCATTTTGGCTTCTTCAGAAATAAGACAGTAGAAGAAAAAGAAAGGTCAGCAACAAATGACAAACACAGATTAACACAAGGATCATTTTCCACTATTCTAAGTTCTTACTGCAAAGCTTTGTTACATACAACATTCTCATAAATTCCACGCAGAAAAAGCTCTGTTCAAACACAAAAAATGTTACACGGGATGACCGGGGACCTGATTGGGATATGGACTCCTATTAACTGCATGCCTTCACTAAACTTCAACCACAACAAGGCCTTCTCTTAACTTACAGGTTTAGAATAACAACATCCGATCTCCCTCAAATAACCCCTAGGCAGATCTAACAACACTAGGTGTGAAAAAATACTTCACGACTCGTAAGCACTATGGAAAATAAGGCATTATTAAAGTTACATTTTCAACTCAACATTGATCTTCCTGCCATCCTGCCGCACCAGAATCTTAGGTCTGGGAGACAAACCACAGATACTACTCAAACTCAGCCATCCATGGGATAAATCCCTGAACTGGAGCATAAAACCTCCCTGTTGAATCTCCCCATTGGGGAAAAGCTTGATGCTTTTTTCACAACAGAAGCATTTTTATTTTGTTTTGTTTTTTCTGGATACAGTTGACACTAGAAGCTTTGGATAAGCAGAGGATTTGAGCACCTGGTTGTTCCCAATCACTAACCAGGCATGCTTTACCCCATCACCCTACATCTGCAAACGTCACATTCTAAAAATAGGCATTCTCAACTGCACATAGCCGCTGCCTTAATCCCAGGCCTTGGCAACTATGGAAGATTGCCTTCAGACCAGTTTGGTTTTTGCTGGCTAACTGAATTAGCCTTAGTAGACGTAAAAGTGCCAACTAATAGAGGTGCCTAGCAGCCCAGCCATGCAAATGCAATTTTTATTTAATCATCTTTTCTGACAAAATATTATTTTACAAAAATATCATCTCTGGCGCATTTTTTTTTGATCATGAAAATTGAAAGCTGATTTGGAAGTGTCACTTTTAGACAACACTGACTAAGCCTGCTTCATTACTGATGGTCTATTTTATTAATTTTATTCTTAAATTTCTTATTTTACAAGGTTTTGCCAACTCTGTAATAAGAATCCCCATTGTTAAAATTTATTAAGGTAACTTGTTCTGTGCTAGGCATTCCACAAGCAGTAATTTATTGCTTATAACACCACGAAGCAAGCATTTCCTTCCATTTTAAACGTGAGGAATATTAGACAATATCTAACAGCTATTAAGTAACTTGTGCAAAAAAGAACAATTAGTGTTAAGTTTAGAAGTCAATTTTATTTTAACTGTAAAAATGCAGCTCCTAAAGCTCTGTGGTGGGCCTGATTTCCAATCCTCTGTCTCATTTTTATCAGTATACAATTAAAGATCTATCAGAGATTCTAGCCAGCCTAAGGAAACTAGTGTTTATAGAGTTGACATCATTCCATCCAAAAGCAAAAGAATTATATTAGTGTATGAATCACACTACGGTCATACCATGGTTAGTATGGAATCATACTATACTAATTTGCAAGTTCCATAAAGCTTTGAAATATTTAAGAGTAGCTGGGATAGCCTAATTATTTTATATCCCCTAGTTATCCTTGGAATCTGAGTGAACAAAAAAAAAAAATGACATCACACAGTCACTTGTATGTGTCTGTCTCACACACACACAGTCATGTAATACACAGCCAAGTTTAATGAAGGATATAGAGATATGCAGTAGGCTATAATACCTAGATCTGTGTAAGTACACTCTTGTGATGCTCATGTAATGATGAAATGGTCTAATAATGCATTTATAAGAACGTGTCCCTGTCATTAAGCAGTGCGTGACTGTGGTTTTTGTGGGTTATTCGAATGGTTATGATTGATTATGCCTGTATTTACATGAATACAATCATTTTCAAGTTTTATTTTAATTCCCAGTAATTTTATAAGGATCTCTGATCACAAAATATTCTGAATTATTTTATCAGCATATTTCAACAGTTACATGTATAAAATGTATACACACTCTGCATTAGGTCACAAACATATACTAAGAAATTACTGTGCAACACAAGTACTTAGTTTATCTCTGTGTGCAATGTTCTTTGCTCTCTTTAATACACAGGGAAAAAAAATACACGGGGCAGTGACGATGATTTCTGGAAGTGTTAAAAGCTGAAAAACCAGCTAAATAAAACATTTTTTCTCCGAATAATCTCAACAGGGGTTCTTTTTGTTATAAAATGAATCTAATCAGCACACATTTCCAACTAACTTTGTTTTAAGAAGCAATCTTAAACTGCTGAAATATCCAAAGATACAGTGGGAATTTTTCTATACATTCATTTTTCCCCACTGTAGAACTGCACTTTCTAAATCATCTGAATAATCTTCCTTGGCTCGCTTTTTAATTTCGTATGCCACATATCCACATTCAAATCTGAAAGTATTTGCCATGATAAAATCGTCTCCATATAGATTAGTGCCACTAGAGCCATTGGTGTGGACTGACATACAGATGGTGTTATCACTAGGGTCCGAGTTCCTGTGGTTTTTTCAAACTGCCAAAAACCATCATTTTGGTTTCAGTTTTATGATCCCTAAGGTCAAGCCTCTGTAGTCAAAGAGGGACGAAGCCTCCACGTTGTGTTTTGAAGTGTGCTTGGAAGGCACAATTATCTCCTCATTGGCTTCTACAGTGCCAGACTCTCCTGTTAAAGAATCACCGAAAAATCTCTCACAGATTCAATCTTACATGACACAGGAGAAAGAAAAATATTAAATGATATCCCAAAGTACCACTTGCTTGGGGCATGCTTCTGAGGAAATGGAAAGGAATAAAGTTTTAACTTTGGTAACGGGGAAAACTCAGATAATCCAGAACCCAAAGGGAACTTGGGAATCTACAGTCTGGACAAATGATCACAGCATGAAGTGCTTAGAAGTCAGTACATGATGTGAGAACTAGGAAAAAAAAAATAGAAATGGGAGGCATAAACATTGAAAGCAAACTCTGAAACATTCAAGAAAATATTGAAAGCAAAGCACATTTATTTCAGTTTTGCCTGGGCCCAAATTAATAATGCACACATCTCTTTCTCCTAAAAGTTCCATGAGGCACAGTTGTAGTGCTTCCATAACAATGAATTTAAGCTTTTTATACTAGGCAACATATACAGAATATAAAATGTACCATTTTCATCATATAGTACAGCATTCTGTGATATTTACTATATTCATATTGTTACTCAACCATTCATTACTGCAGATAGCTAAGTTAGTTACAAATTATTATAAGGCAGTTGGATAAAGTTGGGCCCTTGGCATAGAAAAACAACTGAGGCACGGTCACTGATTAGCATTATAAAAGGAGAGAAAGTGCCGTACCCATCTCTTTCCCCTTGGGATGAGTAACACTGATGGATATTCTAACAAGGCGTCAATCTCCCTAGTCCATTTCCTTTCCAGAAATTCCTTGTTCATTCCATGTAGGCTTGCTACATGACTACCTTCCCCATTTGATCTCCATTTAATCATTAACTAAGTGACTCTACTTGTAATCTTATTGATCATGGTTTTGTCCCACCTCATGCCCACCTTGTAATTTTCCATTGGATCTTATAGTTTTATCCCACTTTGTACCTGCCTCACCTCTTGGCTTGGCCCTATAAAACACATTTGAAAAGTGGGGTTGGTGAGCAGCCCATTTTCTGATCCCCCTTCTGTATCTCTTAGACAGAAGCTATGTTTCTCTCAATAAATTTTTCCTACTCTTAACCTCCACTCTTTCTAGAATTCATTCTTTGATTTTAGACAACACAATTATTTTTGCTTATTTGGGTTACTTGCTGCCCCATATCACCAACACCACCATCCATATTCAAATGCTTTTCATCTCACACAAATGAAACATTTCACCCCTTAAACAATACTTGCTCTTGGGTGATGTGGTTACTTTACTATCATGTCTTCAAGGTTGACCTACGTTGTAGCATATATCAACATTACGTTCCTTTTTGAGGCTAAGATATGTGTATGTGTATTTATATGTATATATGTGTAGGTACACACACATCTCACATGTTGTATATCCATGGACACAGGTATTTTTAGCTTTGAGCTGTTATGAATAATGCTACTGTGAACATCCCTGAACAAATATCTGTTAAATTTCCTACTACCATTTATTTATACATGTAAATAAAATTGCTGAATCACATGGTAATTCTAATTTTTTAAGGAATTGCCATCTGTTTTGCTATGTGTAAGAACTTGCATTTGCATCAGCAAAACGTGTCCCAGTTTCTCCACATCTTCACCAATGCATGTTATTTTCTAGATTTTTTTGTTTGTTGTTTTTATAATAATCATCCTAATGGATATGAAGTAGTAGTACCTTATTGTGGTCTTGATTTGTATTTCCCTAATGATCTTTTCATCAGATTACTGGACATTTCCATATCTTTTCTGGAGAAATGTCTATTTAAGGCCATTGCCCATTTTTAATGAAATTGTTTGGTTTAGTTTTTTGCTGTTCAGTTGTACTTTTTTTATATTTGAATATCATCCTTATCCAATGCATGACTTGCTAAAAGTTGTCTCACATTCTATGTATTGTCTCTTCCCTAGTTGAATATTTAATGAATAAATATATTTATTTTAATAAAGCCCAGTTTATTTATTTTTTGTTTTGTGGGGGTTTGCTGTCATATGAAAAAAAAAAAATCTAAGTCTGGTATCACGAAGCTTTTCTCCTATGCTTTCTTCCAAGAGTGATAATTTTACTTCTGACCTTAGGATCTTCAGGAAAAAGTCTAACTCCGAAAAGAGCAAATGGAATTAGTACTTCCACAGCTATCAGAACTGACCAATACTAAGTCGTGTTCTTCTCAAACAGTGGCCTTTGTTGTCAAGTCACTGAAATCATATTGACAACAACTCTGTCATTGATGATATCT